GGTAATGAAAATAACCAAGAAGACATGCACATTGTATCTGACAGCTATAAAGAAGTAAATAGCCGCCCTAGTTACAGTAATGGATGCCCTTGCTCTCTGCACAGACTCATGTTGTGATTGTGAATTTATACAATTCGTTCCTTTTATTAGGATCTTGACTAATGTCAGTTGAACTCAAAAGTTGAAGTCAACTTTTTCAGACACGCCATTGTGCTACATCAAGTTACACGACACAACATTGTTTATGTATTTCTTCGCTACTTCCAGGCTGGATCTCTTCAGGTCAAACTGGAAGTAGAACTTGGGCGGATTAGTGAAATGGACATTGACATTTTTTACTTGAGGATGATTGTTAGTCCTCCGAAGCAAAAACAACCATCGCTGCAGCCTCATTATCCTGCTTACTGCTACATGCTCTGAATGGCTAAATAAGTCGGCTCGGCTCATACTGAGAAGCACTGAACTCTGGGTATGCGGGGCTTATAGAGCTCTGAAGTGCAGGACCTTCTGTTTACTGCTGTTTGTTGAGGTGATGGATGGAGCTCATCGGTATTCAGGGTCTCCAGCTCTGTCATGGACTCTTTGCTATTCAGCAGAACAGTACAGAAGTGGACAATACAGGTGAATGAGCCATGGTCTCCCTCTCTGTCTCTCCTATGCCAAGTATTAGTCTGCCTATCATGTGGTGATTAATTGTGCTTGACAGTGCCAAGGCCTCGGCACTTCAGAGATTTAAAAAAAAGAAAATCTTTTGAGACTTTTTACTGCTGTCAGATTCACAGTTTATTCACCCTGAATGATAATACTGACACTGTGTGTGGATGGATGGGCTGCAGGAGAGATTTGACTCTTTCTCTTCCTCTAAATCCTCCTCAGGTACCAGAAACGATTAAACATTCATTTGATGGGAGGTTATTTTATTGAGATGAAAACCCATATCCCATCACTCAAACGTCGATATCACGGTCGGTGAAATTCTGCAATACACTGGTACTTCCCTTTTATTTTTTCACCCGAGGAAGAAACAGCGTCGTATTTTGGCCCAGTATTATATCAGTTAATACAGTTATTCTCTACCACATTAGATTTAAGACTGAATCACTTCAAGTCTTATCTCAACTCAGCTGCCTCTGTCCTCAATCACCCCTGGTCCCATATTTTCCTCCTGTAGTGTTCTTATCTTGAAGCAAATGGAATTATTATAGAATTATTTGTCTTTTCTGTAAGTGCGTTAAAGCTCCGAGATCTTGACCTCCCCTTACCGTTGGCTGAACAAATGTCAAATTTTTTTCAAATGTTAACCTGAATCCGTAAAATATAAATGTCACAGGACAACTGTTTTTTTTCCAAATTTACCCTCCATAAGACGTAGATGCTGACAGAAAGAGAAAGGCGTGTTTGTTTTCATGCTGAGGAGGTGCAGTAGTTTAATATTCAGGAAAGCTCTCTGTTCTACACAGCTGGGGTCAGTGTTGAGGTTCAGTGGCTGCAGAGTCCAGCAGGTATTCAACATTTAGCTCCATTTTCCTCTGAGCTGTCTGTGTTTGTGCTCCACTGGTCACACTGTCAGGAACGTCCACTCTTAAATGCCAAAGCTGCTCCGAGGAAAACTTGGCCCGGTGTTTTTAAACTCCTCTGCTCTCTCTCTTCTCTCTCTCAGTCTGTTGAGTGTTACCTCAGCGAGGCTGTGCTCTCACCACACATTATCTCCTCAGGGATTACAGCACTCGGTATTGGAGAGCCGTCCCTCTCATTTCACCTCTTCAGACTACTGTAATTCACCTGCTTTTTCACAGTGAGGGCTCCCCCACCACCCACAGTAACAAGTGTCTGTCAGGCCAATGCCTGCGGGTATATCGACTATCAGGAGGAGCTTCAAGGGACCAGAGAGCTGGAGGGCTCCTGATGATTGTTGAGTAGCTAGACCGCATTTAAATCAGTGGAATTAAATATGTATGAAGCTCAAAACCACTATTACTACCAACAGAAAAATTGAAGATTGACTCTAATGTGGTGGTGAAACTTGTTTGATTTGTCCCTTCTGGGCTACTGTAGAAACGTTGCGGTTCAACTCAGCGGACACTATGGAAGGATAAATGTCTGTAGATAAAATGTAAGGTAAAAAAACACAATGATTCCTATATCCAAGTGGTTATACACCAATGAAAACATACCTATGAATATTATTTTCCATTTCTGCCAATTGACCCTCCTAAATGTTGGACACACTGGACCTTTAAAGGCACTAAGGCTGGAGATATACTTGTTTTTAACTACGTGTTTGAGTGTTGGTTATTATAAAGCAACCATATCTCCTGTTTAACTGTAGCATTTAATATCAATAAATCATTACCAGGTACACTTGGATGAAAATAGAATCAATAGGGTTTGGAAGTTCATTTAATATTATTACTGTTTAAATTACAGTTATATAATGACTACTCCTACTATAATCCTAAAAGTATCACAGTTAATTTTCAAAATAGCATATGTAGTCCTCTGCATTAAATACTGTTTTAAAATCTCTGTCTCTTAAGATGCAGTGTTATTCCCCTTTAAAGTGGAAAGTGAAGTCATCAGGCTGTGGAGGATTTGAGAGGCAGATGAAGACCTTGTGTTGTTGAGATGAAGTACACTGATGATTACAGAATAATCAAAGCTAAAGCCTCGTTGCCTGAGTTGTGGGCTGGGATCGGACTGCAGCGTGAATCATAGTAATTGGCTCTTGTCTCAGAGGTGGAGAACAACATCCATTAACTGAGGGGCTTTAGGTGGAGGCCGCGCTAGTCTGGCTTTAGCTTACAGTTTGGAGCTGAAGAGGAGCGCCATGAATATTTACTACACTGATGTTCACAAATCTCTGTGTGTGGGATACCTTTGCACTTTAACTGCATTTCTACTGTTCAGTTTACTGTTTCTCCCCACATACATTATTTAGTTATGTAAATACAGCTGCAGTGCATCATTATACAATAAAAGCTATAGCCTAATTTTCTTGTAAGCTCCCTTGCTTCACCCTCCCCTTCCAAGCGCGAATGAGAAACTACAGTTGTGTCAAGATACGCCCTATCTAGAGCCAGTGTTTGGTTTGTCCATTGCTAGAAACATGGCGGACTCAACGCCTGTGGTGTCTGTATATATACAAAGTTTTCAGGTGATTATAAAATAATGAAAGCATAGTTATTTATATTATATATATATATGCATTTATTTTATATATTTGTGCCGAAACATAAAATGATGCCTCCTGTTTACAAAACTCTGCCCATTCTTTATTTCTCAAGAGCTGTCACTTTCACTTTATATGATGTATTTTTGTTTCTTTTTTTTTTACTTTAGTGTAGTTCTGCTTTGTGTTAAGATGCAGAATAAAGTGAAGGGGGTGCTGTAGGATAGGGACAGAAGATGTGCTCTGTGGAGAGATAAGCCAATTAAAAGGATGATTATTGCACATTATGTAAAGTATTTGACGTTTTTATTGCAGCCGATCAACCATTGAAGTGTAAAACATTTTGCTTCTGACAACGCTGATTCGTCTCCATCAGTATCCAGCCTGTAATGAGCCAGTCAGCATGCCTTTCATCTTCACAACATGACATGATTACAACATTCATTTATCCATCTCGGGAGAATTAAACCATTTATTCATCCAACTGGACATTATTACACCGTTCATTCATCTAATATAGTGCCATTACAGCTGAACAGACCTGTTTCCACCTGGGGAACATTAAACCTGCTTTTCAGTGATTAGACTTTACTCTGCCACTCGTATTAATGTCCACAGACTCAATAGGAGTGATGATCAACCTCTGGTCATTTGAATATGTCATAAATCTGGTTTAGGTCTTTTGATTCAAAAGTATTACATCATCTACAGTGGATAGATGCTGAAAGTTAAAAGTAACTCAGCATTTTTTATTTTGTGCTGATCATTTTGAGATGCAAGGCTTTCACCTCTCAGCATCAGCTCCTGTCCTGCTGTTTTTAACATTTCAACAGTTTTTCACTCAGGCTAAAAGATGGAGACTTATCCAACTCCAGCTGCGTCTGATATTTTGATATCCCGAGTGTGGTTTTTACTATTGATCTCTGCTCTCTGAACCACTCAGCTATCTTTTTCGCTCTGGAGAAGAGTTTGGACGCTTCTTTGTAGCTATTTTTTTTATGATTTTGAACCACAAAGCTAGTTATACTCATGCTGAGAGAGGAGACATTCCTGTCTCAACCTGCTGATGTGAAATGTTTTCTGTTCATTGAGAGACTTGAGTGGAATGTCAACATTAAACCTGCAGCTCAATGACAAAACTCCACTCCTCTTCAGCTGCTCAATGGTGTTTATTGAGGCTAAAAAATGTGATCCTCATGCCCAGTTACTTCTGGTATTTTGCTTTTCTGAACTCAAAGTGCTGAATCACTCAAGATAAGTGTTGTTCTGTTTAACCATCTGCACTATTGTGAGCCTCTGGAAAGATGAATGGATGTTAGGTGAAAACTTTCTAAAACTTTACTCTTATTACTCTTACTTAGGCCACAAGACTGCATGTCAATTGTCAGCTGTAATAGGGATATTAAAAATAATATTCATCATCATGTTTGTGTGTGTGATCCTATCATGTATCTAATGATATGATGGTTATTTGCTGATGATTACTTTGGACAAAAACAAATCACTGAGCAGTCTAATAGTCATGTTATAGACATTTGTTTGTAATAAAAATCAACATTTGTAGTGTCTCAACAAGATCAGCTGCAGTGCAATATTTGATTCATTTTGCAGCAACACTATACTAAGCCAATCATAAAGAGGGCAAAGGTCAGAGGCACGGTTATAGTTACAGCAGGAAAGAGGATCCTTGAACCTAAAAACCAGCATATGTTATAGGAAATTGAACAGCCACTAAAGGTGTTATTAAATGATTCAATGCCATCTTGTTTGCTCAAACTGCAACTCTGCTCTAACCTTGTATGTTTTTTTCTGCTTTGTGATTGGTTGACAGAGGTGTGCGACAGCACGCTGGTGTCCAATCTGCCGCCATCGTCCTTCAGAAGCTCCTCCCAGCTGTCCAGCAGTCACGCGCCAGGCTTTGCCAAACTGAACAGGAGAGAAGGTGAGGAAGAGTTTCTGCTGCTGAGAGTGACTAATGAATGACAGATAGATGTTGTGTTGGATGAGTAAGACCTAAACACTGGATCTGACAAGAAACGCACGGCATGATTTGGTTGAATATCAGACGACATTGTCAAGACTGAACTCGCTGACACTGACTCGCTCATTGCAGAAGTGTAGCTGGTTTACGGGTACAAACTGTTGCTAATATTGACAAGTATTATTTGCAATAAGCTTGTGTGTCGAGCTTGTGTAGAGATTTCTTCAGGATTATTGGTCAATGGAGACTGAAGTGGGCATTTTGAATGTCACCAAAACTAAAGCCTCCAGGAAGTTATGAGTTTGGTCCTGTGTGTGTCCATGTGTGTATCTGTCTGCAGATAATCTTGCATACTACTGGACCAATGAGCCTCATATTTTTTGTGCACATTTATGACTGTATGGTTAAGGACCTGTTGTGGTTGTGGTATTTCACAATTTTGCTCTTAACTGGCCAGTATGGGCCACAAGTGATCAACAACTGTTAGGCCAGGTGTTGTGGCTCTATATTTTGACATCCATAGAAAAGTCATCTTGAACTGGAGCATCAATTCCATACCTGATATGTTATGATCGACTAAAGTTAGGCCTTATATGAGATGGATAAATCATACCCCCATCTTTACTGCAGGAGCTGGAGGTCAACATCCGCTGGTAAACAAATATTTGTGTATTGAGAGATGTCAACTCCAACTAGCTTAATTCTGAATAGATTTTCAAGATTTTTTCAAGACATAATCAGCTTTATGCCAAAACATTAACCTTCTGAAGAGCCACAACTTCCACTGGGACCTGCAGGCTCCAATTTATTAATAGGCAACATCAAGTGTAAATCATTTATAATCTCACCTTTATGAGTCTAGATTTATACATCTATTATTTTATTATAAAGCCGCCTGTTTGCTTGTAATGTTCTAAATAAATAACATGATGTTCTGAATGAATAACAATGTTTAAATTAAGACGTTTGAACTCATTGTCTTGTCTATTGTTTCCTTATTCAATGTATACACTTAGGCAAACCCACAACATACGGTTACAATGCCACTACACTATTCTGTGCATCTTAAAGAAAGCTGAGACTATGCTATACAAAAACAGAAATCTCAGCTGGTTACATCTGGCAGCTGTGGTGGCTTTGCAGTAGGTGTTTCACCATCTGTTGCCTGAAGGAGATCTGCAGTCTCCTGAGTGCACTCTTGTAGTCGTTACTTATTTGCTGACTTTAACATATGTTTTGTTTTCTGTTGCTGTCAGTTTTATTAGGTATTTTTTTATGGCTTTATTCAATAGCTGACAGTGAAGAAAGACAGGAAACACAACAAAATAAAGAAAAAATTGTCTGCGGTTGGTGATGTTGCAGTTATGTGGAAGGAACCTAGTCCACCAGGATGCCTTGAAACTTGTTGTTTTTTGTTCGGTTTGTCTGCCTTTGAAAGATATTTGAAAGATTTATCATTTTCCATTTCCACTTTCAGCCAGGGAATAGCAGGCATTCTTGCTGCTGCTTCAGGGTATTATGCATACGACTAAATGTGGATTAAAGGTTATCCCAATTATCCCTGGGATCCTTTTGTCTACATCAAATGTTACTGTTTCTCTGCAGCAGTTGAGATCAGTGCAAGAGAGACTTTGTTTAAGCTCGGGACACAAGGCACAAAACCAAACAAACAGGAAAGTTTTCACAAAGGCTAACAGACGACTCACCAGTGAATAGTTTAGAGGGAGACAGAGGATCAGAATAATGTCTGAGAGACACGACAAAAGGAAAGAGAGAACAAGCAATAGCTGCTTTGTCTCGTCTTTATTCTCTATTGATGCTGTATGTGTTGCCTGAAGGATAAATGTGAATGTTGTTTGTTCATCCAACATGAAAACCCAGCAGGGAGTCCTATGCTGGATGCTGATGTGAGGCTTTGACAAAATGATGATCATGGTTTGTTGTGGAGCTTTCTGCAGGGAACGAGCATCACCCGCCTTATCCGGACATCAAAGCTCAGAATCAGCTGGGAGGGTGAGATGGGTTTAATCTGGATCTAAATGATTTCCACCACCTGGGGAAGCTAAAGGAGGCAGAGCACTGCTCAGTCCTCAGTTAGTTTGATCGTCAAGTTCAAGCACATTGTTTCTGCTGCTAAATGCTATCATTCTGCTGTTTTAGTTTGCTGATCTGCACATGAACAACCAGGCTCTCAAAAGCTGCTTTTTATTACATATTTAATGTACTTTTTGCCATCTTCTATTAAATAAATTAAACAAGCAAGATTATTTAAAAATGCATTTCCTTTTTAATGTTTTTAAAGGAGTGACATCACTGACTTTTTACTGACTGATTTGTGGATCAAGTGCACAATTTTGGTATTTTTGTTAGGTAGGCTATATGGTACAGACTTTTTTCTGGACATATTCTTTGTGGGTTATGATGCTTACATGCTACACTTATTAATGATTATCTGTGATGTAAATAGTGATGCTTGTAGTGACCAACCAACTGAGAGAAGTGAAGTTTATTTATGTAGCACATTTAAAACAACTAGAGTTGACCAAAGTGCTGTACAAATGAAAGTGCACTGCACATCAATAGCAGATATAGGACATTGAAAAGGGACATAAATAACACCAATAAATAATGAAAAGAACTATATGTATAAATATAAGGCAATAACAAATATGGACACACATGTAAAACAGAGACAGAACAAGACTTGTAAGAACAATGTAAAATAAAAGATTAAAAAGACTAAATACAAACAGTATTTGACAGGTAGCCAGTGCAGAGATACAACATCCTGTTAGACATAATAAAGCTTGCTCTGGTCGCATTTTGGTTAGATTTAGGCAAAAACTACTTGGTTAGATTCAGGTAAAGGCTGTACCTGACAAAATCAACACTTATTTTTGGTTTTACACAGGACACAAACAGCACTCTGCTGGATAAAAGTATTTTGTTTGAGCCATCCATCCACCCACCCCACCTCCTACCAAACATGGACTTTGTTGCTCTTTATACTACTGCTGGTACTGCGCCTTCAAGCCAAGTATGCACCTTTCATGTCCAGGTAATGGAAAAACATGACACTGACATGATATCCTCTAGTGGGCCGGCGGGTCTATTACACAGTCTTGTTAGACTGGGCTGATTCAACGTGGTGGGCCTCTAGTCAGCAGTACCCTTTATAGCCATATCTGTGCTGGCATATTTTCCAACTTGCAGTAGTTGGTTGATTGGATGTACTCCATCAGACTGCCTGTGCAAAGATTTAACAGACTTGCTCTCATTAATAATAATAATGTCAATATGAGAAAATACAGGGATTAGGAGTTGGAGTGTAATGAATGACCGAGCTACTGCTGATAACATCCTAACCCTAACTGTATTTTTCAAATCTAGTTCTAGTTGTTGGCAGATTAGAAGAGCTGTTTGTGTCACATTTCCTCCCCAGCTGTGTTAAGGGTGCAAGCTGACACAATTCCAGCTGTTTGCTGAGAAAATCGATGAATAAATGAACATCTCCATCTCATTTCCATCTCCCGCTGCTGCCGCTAACTCTGCCTCCTCCAGTTGTTCTCAGAGGAGCGGCTTTGCTTTCAGTTCATTTACTCACTAAATGAACAGATTATCAAAGCCCTGAAATACCACCGACAAGATAAATAAAGGTATTTTATACATGGGGCTTATCATCCTAGATTTTCTAACATCCCATTCTAATCGTAACAATGGGCTGTGATTAAAATCGTATCATTTATTTCACTGTGGTGGTTGATGTACAAGCAGGCGATGGATCTTTTGTCCTCAGACACTATAAAACCACACTGATTTTGTCTCAGACTTTAAACTGATGTAGCTGCTGACACTGGAGCCTGCTGCATAATACTGTGGGTGGATAAAGACCTCTAATTATACTATTATAAACTAAACTTTATCATTATCTGCAGCATCAAAGCGCATTTAACAAGTTTGACATGAACTGGTGCAGCAGGTGCGAACTGATTGAAACAAATTATGGTATTTTGTCATATCATATATTACATTTACATTAGAGTGACATTATGTAGTGAAGGTTAGTGGCGGCCACTGGCAGTGATGCATTAGTTGAATGTGTACATTGTTTTTGTAACATGGTAAACACCAACAGTGATGGTAGTATACTTTAAAGTCCTGGCACTAACGGGAAGGTTGAATTATTGTAACTGCACTGGCAGATACTTTCAAGAGAATATATCTGTAGATTCTCAGTCTTCCAGGCGATGTCTACAAGTGGACTCAATTGGTTCTAAAGCAAGTTGTCTTTTGACTATTAGATATGAGGAAATAAGACATTAATGAGTCAAATTCAGACAAAAGCAGTGGTAAAAAAAATTACTGAGTAGTTATTTATTGCTCTAATTTTCTGCCCTGAAACGTAAGGGCACAAGGTCAGGAAGACAAAAATATACATATGGAGTCCATCCCCCACCCGCATTCACACACATGCACGAGCCCAACGCCCACTCTACCTTACCCCTATCTTTAATGGATGTTAACTCACTCCTACTATCCTATCTTGCTTAACATAAAGCAGAGTTGTTGTTTCCTCCATCTGGCAATGGCTTTTCTGTAATTATAGCCAGTTAGGCTTCTTTGTTGAGACCTATGGTGTGCTTAACAGATTATGACAAGTTATGACGTGCTAAACAGATAATGGTTTTGGCTGAAATGTCCACAAATTCTCTCTTTGAGGTTCCTTTTTCTTTTATCACACAGCAGTGATGAATGTGTTTGTGTGGCACAAAGCTTGCATGGAAATACACACATGTTCTTTTTAATGCATGGCAGTTGCTTTTGAAAGGTGACACGCTCAATATTTTGTGCATGCACATCATTTTTACATCTGGGCCCAGAATTGGTTGAAAAGCTCTGGCAGGCAGCTGATTGGAGATGAATGTCTCTTTCACCAAGAACCTACAGGATGAATGACTCACTATTTTGGTCTCCACGCCGCTCTCTTTTGATCCTCAATCTGTTTTATTCTTCATTTTCATTTTCCATTTTCACTTTTTATCTTTCATTTCTCCCGCAGACTCTTTTTATTCTACTTCCTTTTTTCCATCCGTGTGTCTTCCTTGTTTTAAATGTATCATCTTTTAAATTGTCTTCTGTGCTTCTGTACAGACTGTGTTCTATTGTTATCAGAACTTTCACTCCATCTGCAGTCATATTTTCGTTGGTAAGAACTAATTAACCAGCTCTGTCTTCTTGCCAAATGTTAATAGCGGTCTTCGTGTTTAAACATTTTCTTTTTCAACACTGACAATTATCACTGATGCCGCTGCAATTATGCTGGAATAGACTTTAAAAGGAATTATTGTGTCACAGTAATCACTTTCTAAATGAATGAGATTTAAAAGTGGAATTAAACTTTAATTGGAACCTGTTCTGGTTGTGTGTATGGATTGAAAACTAATCAAGTATTGATTTATGTGTGTGTTCCGTGTATGCTTTAAAGTTCCAATGCTACACTTGAGTGGAAATGTTTTGTACTTTGCTTGCAGGAGACATTTGGTGTTTTTCAGCCTCCTGCAGCATCGGGCCCATTAGGCTCTCTGTCCGTCTGACATGTTATCGGGCTGCTGAAATTACCATCCAGGCTTGCTATTCTCATGCAAATCATGAGCTCTCACTCCAGACCTACAATAAATAGTCTGACTGTTACCTGTCTCTCTTCTATTCCTATCAGCAACCTGTCTGTCCATAGAACTGCCTGTTCTCTTTTCTACCTGTCTCTCACTATAATGGCTCGCCTCTTCCTCTGCCTGTCCTGGCTTTTCCATTCTGCTTGACTCTTCATTTTACTCATGTCTCTCTCTTTGTATGTCCCTGTCCGTCCTCTGTGCCTGTCAGGTGGAATATCGGTGCATTATTAATGATTCAGCAGGCCTTTCTTTACTTATCCATCCATCTGTTCCTTATAGTGAAGCTGCTGTCCAGAGCGGACTCACGTCAAGCTTGGTTTCGCTTCAACAGTGAGGCAGAAGGAGAGCCGTGCAGCCTGACCGGCTCTCATCCTCACCTGTTACATACACTACCTGTGCTGCTCTAATAACAAGAGAGGGACAAATTGAGTTGGTTTCAGGTGTCAGAGTTCTTACAGGAGAAGTGGATTCCTGAAGTATCGGGGATGAAGATAGCACCTCTAGTTTGGTTATATTTATATAATAATAGTTTTTTACTTTGTTAAACAGAATTGGTGCTATATTTTCAAGATAAATTGAAAATATACCTTATACCACATTATATATTATCATACAGACAAATTATTTGACTATTGGAGTTTTATTTTATTTTACTGGTCCATAATTTTGCCATTATAATTAGATGTTTTTGTACATTTTATGAAAAGTAATGTAATTTGGTATTAATTATAGGGCAATTAGTGACATTGCCCAATTAGACCACTTAAGATACATTACTTAATTGCTAGTGTTCCCTAGAGGGATCTTTAAGAGTGCACAGCTGATCAGCTGAACATGCAATACTGAGAAATTTGTCTTTGGGAAACCATATAATTATGATTTCCCTACCTCAATGCATCAACTTTCCAGAAAAATAGCAATTTTTATGTCAGCTGATGTGTGTTGGACTTGAAGGTCGATTTATATTCTTGTGTCACTGTGCCTTTGGTTAAATTGTTAACTATGCTATTCATAAATCTCCACCAGCATTAGAAACTTTTCTGGGAGAACACAACCTCCAAGTGGACCACTAGTAATTCTTGTGGTCTCAGTGTGATGATTACATTTTTAAGGAGGTGTATACTAGCCATTGTGTAGCCTACAGTTCTCACAGTTCAACGTACAGACAACAGGGCAAAGGACCCAAATGTAGACACACTGGCAGTTGAATTACAGTACAGTACTTTAAGTGGTCAGCAGGTTTATGGTTGGCAAGGGGACAATATGAAATAGTAAATAAAGTCTGACATGGTAAAAGCTGGAAGGCGGGTCACAGACAGGCTGGAAGTCTTTAAATACACTCTCGCAGTGGGCAACAGTTTTTGCAAAACAGGGAACAGACAGAAGACATAAAGACATGGCTCAACACACTGGCAGCACAGAAAAGTCAACAGAGGGGAGAAGGAAACAACAGCTGGTATACAGAGATTTAATGACGGAATGAAGCACAGGTGTGTTTCAATTAGGAAATGACGGACAGGTGTGCAGATGACTCTGAGGGCATCTGGTGGGCAGGTGGGGAATAACAAGATCTAGAGAGATCCATAATAGATCCATGACCTGGGGGGGAAGAAAGGATGATTTTGAAAATAAATAGGGGAGAAAGGCAGACAGAGCAGGTATCATAATGACAGCATTATGACGTAATAACCCCCATAATAAACAAGTATAGATCCGGCTTCAGTAGCTAAAAGCATTTGCCTTCCTTTTTTTGCTACACTTATTTATGATAAACATATATTTTTTAAATTAACCTGTGTGGTAAAGTCAGGTTGACTGTAACAGTTTAGAAAATACAGCTCTCCAATGGTTTTGGGGTCAGAAAAGTTGACTCACAAGAATTTGACAGCTGCTTGTAAGTTTCTGTTTGCTAGTTCAGCAAAGCAACTCCAGACCAATGACCCAGTAGCACCACTTACATGTCAGATATGATGTTATTGCTGTAATTTGTATAAAGGCTTGATAATAAAGCCTTCTGCAACAGTATGACTAATTTCACAAATAAAAAATGAGAATTCATAAGTGATAAATGGGCAATAATGAGCTTTACATTGTCATTGGCAACTGTTTCCCTGATTAGTAAAGCATCAGCATAGGAGAGCATTGGGGAGATCTTGTGCCGTTCTAATTGGTTGGAAGACAGCAGTGATGTCACACTCCCGGCTGTGGATTAAGTGGAACTACTTTTCTCAGTGGATGGTTAGAATTGGTTCCTTGACAGACACGGGAGGGGAAAGAAACGAGGGAGATCTCTTTGATTTAAAGTGACAGCCGTGACAGGAAGTGTTCAGACCATCAGCCATCAGTTCACTTGTGCTTTAATTATATCTGACAGGGTGGACACAGTAAATCTTTGTAACGCCTCTTGGTCTCTTAGTCGTTTCCCTCTGATCTTTTTCTCTTTTCTTCCCCAGTCTAATCTTCATGAGTAAAGGTCAGAGTGTCTGCTATTGCCGGTTCTTCTGTCACTGGACATGTCTGTTAGTCAAGTGCTTATTAACTTTGGCCTTTAGCTCTTTAAAGATCAGGCTCCACCAGCTACCAGGCGGACACTCATGCATTTTCACTGCTAAAAAAAGGGAATACGGAAACTGTTATTTTACATTTGCACTACCCACATTCAAGGTGAGGAGAAACTAGTATGAGTTCGCCACATAAATAAAGGGATAAGATAATTATAATCAAAATACCAAACTTGGAAAAAATCTTCAAGGTGAAGCAGGTAATGAAAAGTTGTCTAGAAGAATTAAATCAAAGTTTAATGGTTGTGTTTTACTGAATGACAAAAGAGGACAACACTAATATACAGCATTATACAGAATGAACATTACATATCTGTGAGTTTGAATTTTTACCCGTAATTTGTTTCTGAAAGTCCAAAATATTAGGGAATATGATGAGAACAAAACAAAACAGCCAGATTGACTCTTTGTTTTTTTCTGTAGTTTTTTTAAAACACTTTGGACATCTTGAAGGTAGATCTTGCGATTTCAGTTCTTCTACTCCATATGTTGAACAGCTTCTGCAGCACCTTGGCCTTCTCTAAAGCGTCATGGGCGTCATAGGAATTTTTTAGAAAACAGAGGGCCAAGGACATCAGAGAGTGTTTGTGGAGATTAGTAAAGCATTTCCTGCTTAGCAGTAAGGTATCCAGAAACTCATACACCACCTTATCGAACTCATCCTCAAGGTAGAACTCTTGCAGCACTCTGGTGAGCACACGTGCATCAAACCTTTTTGCATTGTGGGCCGCCAGCACCACTGGGCTGCCGAAGGAGCCAAGGTATTCAATAAAGGAGGTGAGAGCTTCTTCAAGAGGGATAGTGTCTATCTCAGTCTCATTGCGAAACAGGATGTCATAACTGACAGTGAAACCTGTGACTTCTGCGGCTTTCTTAGAGATGGGGCAGCGGGGGACGGTGAAGACGTCAAAGACATCATTTCCACAGGTGGCAGACAACTGGATGATGTCACAGCCGTTGTCTGAAAGTTGAGATGGGGTGGATAAAGGGGAATAAGAAAATATAAATAAATGTAAGTTACAATATTGAAATATTATAAAACCTTTGTATTTTTGTCAGCAATTGTGAAGAAGGTGTAAGTATACTTCTTTTTCTTCTACCTTTCCGCACCTTAAAAGCTCCCTAATTACTACCTTATAGCTCATTTGTTTAATCCAAAAACTGAAGTGTAAAAATATCAAGTTGTGGTTTTATGATGGGTTATGTGCTGGACTGTTTAGCTAGCTATCTATTTCCCTAGTTTCCATTCTTCGTGCTAAGCTAAGCGAACTAAACAAACTGTAGCTTTAAATTTACAGGACAAACTAGAGGACGGCATCAATCTTCTCATGTAACTCTCAGCAAGAAACCAAATAAGCGTGTGTGTGTGTGTCAAAACCACAGATTCACATTCTCAGATGCTTCAAAGATTCCACACCCCGTCCTTTGACAGGAAGGGTAATTATAAAACAACCAGGGCTGGAACCAATTTTTTTTTTTTTCCATTATTGATTAATCTGATACTTTTTACTCTCAATTTGTTGATTTATCATTTGGTCTGAAAATATATAAAAATCTTGCCAAGCTCTGGAAGGGGTCTGTAGTCAACATTTTGTCTTCTGTGTATAATCTGTATGATAATTAAATCTGTCTAGTAGCAGAGGCATCCTGTGCCTGACACAGGATGAACATCTCTGATGCTTTGTGGTTAAGCGCAGACACATTCTGAGTCATAATCAAAGTCTGACAATGAGTATAATTTTTTATTAAATTATTAAATAATGACGCTGGCTAATATCAGTTGTATTTTTAGGTAGCCATACTGGTGAAAAAATAAAAATAAAAATAAAACATTACAGACCCTTTTATCTAGGAAGTTAGTTTGTTAGTTGATTGAAAGACAATTATGTACTTTTTTCTACACTTGTTCAAAAACATTAGTTACTTTGGAGATTCAGATTTTTAATTTAAAAAGAACAACAACATATAAATCAAATATATGAAGATGTGAATGAATTGTGATTTATTATTATGGATTAAACTAAACTGAGGTATATAAAACCTGAAATTAGCCCCATCTTTACCAACATTACTGATGCTCACACATTAATACATCACTAATCACAGTCCATTTATATACATTATCTGGAAATTATTCTGAATTCTGCTTAATGAGCACCTTTACTATTTATTTATTTTTAATATTTTATTTAATATTTTCAGTATTTAAGTATTTTATGTTAATGTAATTTTACTTACGTTAGAACAGAGTATTTTTTACAGTGATAATGGTACTTTTGCTAAAGTATAAGTACTTCTTCCAACACTGGTCAAAAGTAATTGAGTATAAATATAAAATACATTTTTAGAACATAATTAATAAATTATAAAACATTCTTAGGAATGAAGGAAATAGGATGTGGCTGAAAGCTCTGAAAAAACTCCATAAAAAGGTGCCCATTATATAATCGACTACTATAAAATGGTAAATGAATCATATTGTGATTAGTATTTAATATTTTTATATTAATTACAAGTATTTAAAAGCAGACAAACAGATTTAAAGCTGTTGTTACCTAATCCAGTGGTCTCCAGGTCAAAGAAAACGATGGGCATATAATCAGACATCTGTAAGATTTAAAGAGATATACATTTGAACATGAGCTGATACCATTCTCCATGTCTGATGTCTGACAACAAATACAAGTTAAAGTACAGTTCTTTTGAACATAGCTGATAAACTGAGAAATGTACAAAAAAAATACCTTACCGTGGACAGTTTGATGTGGTATTAGCTGAATCGTTTGACAGATGTGAAGACAGCTGTAACAACCTCAGATATCTTCAAGTACTAACGCCTCTGTCAATCAACTGTTACTCTACTTTCATTTCCATTTCGGTGGAAGACAAACATGAGGTGTTTCTTCTTATGAGTCACCTTCCTCAGTTGTGCTCGTTGTGCTCGTTGTGCTTGTAATCTGTGTGTCTTTGCCTCAATCGACTTCCAATTCTGAAATGGAAATTGGAAAATGGAAAATGGAAATTGGAAATTGGAATATTCGTCCTTTTAATTGTTTTTATGCCTCCATGCTGGCGACAGTTGTGGCCGTAGGCATTATGTTTTCAGGTTGTCCACCCATCTGTCTCATTCTTGTGATATAATGTACAAATATCACAGCTGGTCAGACGATGTATTGGTGACACTTTTGATTCAAAGGTCATTGTGACCTCAAAATCGTTTTTTATCCATAATTTAAGAATGAACAGGCTGTTTCCAGATTTCAAACACACCACATGTCAACTAGGATGACACAATGAGTTATATGATAACTAGCACAATGTGGGCTTTTTATCTTTCCAACTGATTCCATTTAATTTCCCATTAAGCCAAAAGATACATATTTTACACCTTATATTTACTCATGTATTCACCGTCTGGACAGACATGGATATAAACTGAAACTTGGCTGGTTGGCAGAGGCATTCAACCACAGGGCGGTAATTCTACTTCCTTCTTAAACTTGAAAACAGAAAAGCAAATGCATTGCCAAGGCTTGTTTCATTTGAACAAGGAAGTTGAGAGCTGAAAACAGCGGCAGCTCTTCTTTAAAGTAGAAGTTGCGCTTTTTAATGGTGAGGAGACACGCCTAACTTGTAACTGCCTTCACCCGGACGCCTACCCTGCTCACTCTAGTGCAGCACCTGACCGAATAGCGATAGAGTCAAATACTACACTAGCCACGTCCGTTCACGGCAGCTCTCCTCTCATCAATCTTGGCACTTGGTAGTTGCTAGGATTATTTTTAGTGGCTGGTACAGAAAGCCCAAAGGGTCTGTTTAATTTTACTTTGGATAGAGTAACCTGTTAGAACCTTCAAGATGTTGAACACACTACCTAATAACTATTGCCTGTAGAGAAAAACATAAATCCAATGTCCACAATTTATTCTATAACTGCAGTTGTTATATTTATTGCAAGATAGCATACAGCTTAAATTGATTCAAAATTGATTATTCATATCCACTGAATAATATATATATTATTCAGTGGATATATTATCTGATATTAAAAAGAATTTCAATTGCAAACCCTGATGAGAAGGCTGTAGCTGAGAGGTTAAATGTCCAGTTTGAAGAGAGAGAGGGAAGGGGGTGTACATCCGATACAGTCCTTCCTAGCCTGCTGTATTGTTGGTTGCTGTTGAAACTCCAGACTTTGTCCAAAGTCCAAAAAGTCTCTAACCAGTTCAGTGTCTGATGGCAGGGTGAACAAAAGGGTAATCCTTGGAAATCAATTGGAATCCTGAAGCCGTGTGGAAATGGTTAATCCTCCTCTGCTCGACTCTTTCTGCAATGTTGGGCTGTTCATTTGCTCCGTCTCTTGAATTAAAGTTTTCTCACCGCATGTGTCCTGTTTGTGCTGTACAACTTCCCCTTTTGCTCCTCACTAGTGTGTTGTTGTAATATATGCCTTTTCAGCTAGTGACTCAACATTTCAACATGATTTGCTCTCTCTTGACCTTACTTTCCATAGTTCTAACTTACTGTTATGCATTCATACTCATTAATAATCAAAACAATCAGTTACAATCAAATAATCCTGTTTCCTTTCATTATTATATATTTCATGTTGTAATATAGAATCCACTTCAATCATTATACAGTTTTTGGTTATTATAATCTATGTGCATTGCGTAATTCAGATGGAAAGTCCCTAATGTTCCACTGTAGGTACGATAGAAAGTCCTTTGATTTTCACCGTTCTGCTGGTTTTAGCGGATCAGGGATCTCAACTTTCTTGACAGTGCCCTATGGTCGTCAGTAATATCGCCATAGAGTGGATGCTCTGGAGCTTAGCTCTCAGGGGCCATGTGGCGTTCCAGCTGAAGAAAAACCCTTCTAGCTAATTTATCTTGTAGGTAATGCAGTTCAGTTTCCAATTCAGCAGTGTGTTGCAAGGCAATTCACGTTGCATTTTCTGCAGGAAATAGTTTCAGAAGGCTTCTTGCTGCCACAACAAAAAGCCAACAGAATGGTAACATGAGGACAAGCCACATTTACACTGTTTGTTGTCTGTTTGTTCTTTTAATGCTTTCCAAGAGCTCGTCCACTCCCAGTGTTTGTGTGTGTGCAGTCTCTCCTCCTCTCTCGTCCTCTGAATTAATAGTCTTGTATGTTTTTGCAGTTCCCTCTTTATCTGTGTGTGTGTGTGTGTGTGTGTGTGTGTGCTCAGTGGGACACCGGTCAGTAGCCTCCTCCTTCAAAATCGTCCATCTGGCGTTTGAGCTCTGAGGTGTCGCTTTGGCCTGACAAAGCACTTTACAACACACACACACACACACACACACACACACACACACACACACACACACACACACACACACACACACACATATACATTCTGGCTCCTTCTTTATCTTGTAGCAGTTGTCTCTGTATCTAAAAACAAAGACAAATTTAATGACTATGAGCTTGTATTCGGCTTATCAATAACACCACAGAGTTTATTACAGTGTTTTTGGATAAGACACTTTGTCACTTGCATAATGTGCAACTAGGCAATTCAAAACATAGGAAATGCTACCAGCCTATTGGGAAAAAATACAGCTTTTTCTAAAAACTTATCAGCATATTTCACCAAACCCCCTTTTATTTTCTCAGTCTATTGACCTAGAATGCAATTGATCAATATGTTACAATGCTGCTCTTTATTGGTGATATTTAACATGGGAAAGGGTACAACTACTGTAAAACTAATCAATGCTTGGCACTACATCCTCCTATTGATGATATTCTATACAGCAAAGGATCCAGATTTGCAAACAAACTGTAAAACTAATCAAAAGATCATGCCACATCCTCCCTGCAATGCTCTATTTGGGAAAGTACGCAGATGGTCTGGCATTCTGTGCAAAGAATCAATGCACCGCAGTCTCTCATTAATGAGTATTTGTTTTGAAAATGTAATTTGGTGCTACACAATTATGTATACTGTAAAAATGATTTGTCATGAACTAAATCTTATGAAACATTTCAGCTATGAGGTCAAAGAAGATGCTAGTATAGGATCTCGCCATGAGGACGTTGTAGAAAATGTTTCACTGTTTGAAATTGTGAGAAAGTTTCTTATCTTTCTTGAAATCTTCATGAGCATGTTATAGCATGCTGACGTGAACAGTTTGTTGTCTTGTTCCTATTTGTGTGCTTTAGTAATACATACAGCCTTATTCATTGTTCTGTTTAATTACAGATGTTACTTTTCTAAAACTATTATTTTATATGTATTATCTTTGTATTAATTATAAATGTTCTGTGTGAGTAGCAAGGCGGGGGGGCTACATTGTATCCCAGCATGCAATCCTTTATTGTATAATGATTACGGGTTAGAAGTCATAAAGGTGCATTGTTGTGTGCTGAGAAAGTCAGTAAAAAAGGAAGTGCGTCAGTCAGAACAGCTTTGCATTATCTCAAAGGAAAACTAATCTCAGTCCAAAGACAAATGTCAAACCTGCATGAAAAGCTGTGGAGGCTGCAGGTTTAGAAATTAAGTTTCATTCTGTTGAATGTCTTCTTTTGATTTATGAAGACAAATAGACTCCATCATGTATTGTGTCTAAAATGGCTATTAGAGAACATTTTGTGTAATACGCAGCAGTAAGTTTGATTCCCTGCGTTAAAAAACTCCTGCAGTGTCTTGGAATAAAATCAATCATTTAACACAATAAGAGAAATACAGACACTGTGTTCAATTATTGCACTGAAATGGGTTTAGATGGTTGTATGTGTTTCTCAAAAATGTGCTTCTTTTTTGCCTCTGACAACAAAATGTGATTTTATGTGAGACTTAAAGGTCAAGCAATTTATTCCCCCCCCACACACACACACTGGTGACTAAAAGGCTTATTACATATTTTACCTTGTAGGCTGAAATGTAATAAATCAACCCTTTCTTTAATTTTCTCTCTCCCTGCAGGAGCTGGAGGTTGGTCCCCTGTCACCTCAGACAGGTATCAGTGGTTGGAGGTCGACCTGGGCGAGCGCACCAAGATCACTGCCGTCGCTACTCAGGGCCGCTACGGCAGCTCTGATTGGCTGACGTCGTACCTGCTGATGTTCAGCGACACGGGACACAACTGGAAACAGTACAGACAGGAGGACAGTATAGGGGTGAGTCCATACTGCAGTAAACAGTATCAAAACAGTTTATTGTAACAAATAGTATAACAGAGAGAACAGTGATACTGATGTTAATCTGTAAGTCTGATCATTGCAGCCAGTGTTGTTGGATACAGCACTAGCAGGGCATCAAGTGGGCGCTCATGCAGAAAACAGCACAGTCGAGTGCCTAAATTAAAAAAGTTAAACTTCTCTGGTGAACAAACATGCTTTTCTTGTTGGAAGCCTCTGCTTGAGAGCCTCTGATGTGCCAAAGCAGTTGTTTTCTTGAAATCTATGAAAATTGTTTTTTTCACTCAGTTGTCTGTCTAAACACAGTCTAATATGGGTGTTGTTCAACAATTAGACTAGCATAGACTGTGCCAAATAGTGCAATGATGTAAAATAAAGTAAAGTTTCTTTATATGCTCGTAAATCACAAATTTCACATCAAATTATCGTTGGCATTCAAAACAGGTGGCACGAGACAATGACAAATAAACACGAGAATGATGTTTCGAATGTATTTAACAAGTACTTAAAACAATTTCAAATAAACATATGTACTACAGTATAATGACTTTCCCTGGAGATATATTTACAGTATTTCTCTGACACACAATTCTCACATTCTCAACTTTTTCTGACAAGCAGCATGTAGCTATGTTTTAATTTACATCCATCCCTATGTTTTCTGCCACCTATCTGGGGCTGGGTTGCAGTGGCACCACCTTAAGTACTGTTGGACTAGTGCATAAAGAGTCCTGTATACAGTATCAGGTAATAGATGTGAAAATGAACACTGCTCAGGTTCATTACAGCTCATTTTCCTGGGCAACCACAGTCATATTTACAGTGGGTATGGTGTTTAGCAGTGCTGGTCTGCAGGGATCAGTCCATCCTGAGGAGATAATCAGAGTCATCAGGAGCCTTTGACTCTACATTAATAATGGATGAACCAATGAAAGATCTCTGCTGACTGTGCGGACCTGTTGCCAAAACACTTAAGCTGCTGTTGATGGACACAGAGCAGGACAGAGAGGCAGCCGAGCGTCACTTTCCTGAATGAGGCCAGGCGGTGCAGCCTGAAGCACTACAATCAATGAGGAAAAATTCCAGTGTGTCCACTGAACCAATATGAGGTGCTTGTACGCACCACATTTCAAGAATAGTATGGAGTCATAAGAAATGGAAGACAGATGTATACAGTACGTTTTGCTTGATGCCTTTTATTGCACGTTTAGTTTTATTAGATATTAAAGGAACAGTTGAAACCAAAATGTAAAGATATCAATTTGCTATTTATTGTGTGTCATGTGTTGAATTTGTTGTTGTACAGCACATGTTGTACAGGCTAAACAATCAAGATATACAGTAACATGCTGAGCACTAAGCTTTAGAGGTGCTGATTGGACGGAGCCAGGCTAGCTGCTTTTACCAATTTACAGTCCTTATACTAGGCTAAGTTACCCAGCTACTGGCAGCAGTTTACCATACAGTCATAAGAGTAGCATCAGTCCTTTCATCTAACTCTCAGCAAGAGAGCAAAACATATTCCTCAAAACATCAAACTTTTCATCTGCATCTTGTTAGCTTTCTGGCTGCCAATCCCAATAAGGTCTCTTCAAATCAGAGGTCATGCACACAAAATGTAAGTTTTGTTGCTAATTTAGTGTCAAATTTAAGGCAAGGATATTTCAATTCAGATAGCTAGATAGATAACAATGACAACATCACATGCACATGTTTGAACATCGTCCCAGAACCTTATTAACCAGCAGGGCTGAGCAAATACTTCGCCATGTGCCTTTTCTCTGGTTTAGCTTCAGGAACAAATGAAGACACCTGCTGCAGTCTTAGGGTTAAATAAAAACATACTAAAACTGTGTTTACTTTAATGTCAGACACTCAGCTGGTCTCGGTAGAACTGATTAATGAAGAAATCAGTCAGATGGACAGCAGAGGCAGTGAGGCGTCACCTCCCACCTCCTGGTAGACACAGCACTCCCCTTCAGTGTTTTTCCCGTCACACAAGTGTCGTGTTGGACTCGTATTTGTCTCACTGTGGTGATGGTACATGGTTCAGTGTACTGTCACAGGAATACTAAGTAATTTTGATCTTGTTTGTGTAGAAAATAAACACAGTGATGAATCCTGTCAGCACAGAGAGGCTGATCTGTTTGAGTTTCTCACCTGCATACTCCTTATGAACCGTATATCAAATCAAAGTGCAATAAATATAGAAAAACATGCACTTAACCCACTGAGAGCGATTGTGTAGGGTAAACGCACATTTGTTACAGTGGCCCAGAGAGGAAGCTTTTGATTAGAAGTAGAGCCGAGGCAATTTGGCAAATCATATGGAGGGAATCCAGCTAATCTCAGCACTGAGGATCTTCTTTGAGAGAGAAGAGGACGATTCTCACGGCTTGAAAGCTTGTTGATGTGACACTCTACGTAAACTGAGCGCAGTCACATTTCAAAGTGTCTCTCAACTTTTGTGCATTAGTCAGTCGAGCTTACAGAGTCTGTCAGGAGAATGTTGAGAGCTGTTGGATCAACCACAAAATATTTCCAGTTAAACTTGTGCTTAGAGAGCTGAAGACCAGTGGAGTGGATGTGTTCTCTCTTTCTCTGTTTTGTTTCCTTACTTTGATGGGGAAAGACTGAAGAGAGGACTAATACAGTATAAATCTCCTTTTTATGATGTTTTTGTTAAGAAAATGCTGTAAAATGTGACAACTTTGAAATCTCGAGTAAAGGATGTGATACATGTTAATATCAACAGAATAAAAACAAGAAATTCTCACCTCTGGCGTGTGTATTTACTGATTTACTGTACGCTGAAACAATATGGATGTTTAATGAACAGTATGAGCATTGTGAGATATATTTAGCTGGGTCTGTGGCTCCTCCTCAGGTCATATTTCTAAACATAAATGGGATGTTGTCCTCTCTGCAAAGTCATTTGCTGAGCTGACAGCTCTTGTGGATCATCAGCTTTGAAGAAAAAGCTCTGTTCAGCTGATTGGTTTAAAAAAAGCTGGCACATGACCCACGAGTCTAACTGACGCCTCACAGCTGTACAATATATTCACTAATATATGGTAGATAATGATAATTGATGATAAATTAAAGCATAATCGGGATGCAGACACAAATACACACAGACACACATAACATACGCAATTAGGCCTATAAAATTACACAATACAACGTCTCTTTTCATCATATGAGGAGATCCAACTCCACTCTCTCATGATTACAGAGGAATTAATAAGTTAATTGTGTGTCTAAGCTTTTATTCAGCAGTGGGAGAGCCAGTTAACCTGCATGTCAACTTCAAGGGAGGAATGTAATTAGGATAGATAGCCAGATGGGAGAGATGGAAAGAGATAAAAAGAGCGATCCGTCAGGCGTTCAGCCCAGAGTCAGAAAGGAGACAAACAATCAGTGCACTCTTTTGCAGACACTTTCATTGTTAACAAAGAGGAATAACATCACCTATGAAAATGCCATCAATAGTGAGAGAGTATTTGCACACTGTAAGTGCACCCATACAACTATATGGTGGCGGCAGATGTAAATATTTCCAGGAATTCACTAGAAATGACGCAGGCTGAAACTAACAATTATTATCAATTTCATTTAGTTATCAGTTCATGATTATCACAACCCAGGGTCTTAAGTTCCTGGAGCCAAAGAATGTTTGAAAAATGATTGAAAAACGCTTATGATTATTTTTATTAGTTGTTTCAGCTTCACAAATATGTGTCATTATGAGTCATTCACAAGTCACAAGAGTCATTACTGGTCTGAAGATGAAGATGAGAGGAAAACTAAATCAAATGACTAATTTAAACTAACATAAATGCCATATTTTTATCACTTTTTCTAATTTGTTTCCCACCATTAGAGGTTTGAGTGGTGTTCTTTTAATTGCATTATGTCATTACCCTTTCTTCTTCTGCAAAGGTTTAAAGTCACCAACTGGAGAGTTAACTGTTTATCTTGATACGCCTACAAATATTCACATCGCAGTAATGGATAGAAACACAATGCTGTGTTTGTCTGAAAGCTTAAATAAACTCTTCTCTCTCTTTGTGTGTGTATAAAAGTAAAATGTCGTCAGTTTGCATGTTTTCATGATGTTTGTGTATTTTCAGTCTTTTCCAGGTAACACTAATGCAGACAGCGTGGTTCAGTACAAGCTGCAGCAGCCGGCGATGGCTCGCTTCCTTCGGCTCATTCCTCTGGACTGGAACCCCAGCGGGAGGATCGGACTCCGACTGGAGACCTACGGATGTCCCTACAGTAAGTCTTTTTACCAGCCTGACCGGACTGTCCTGGGTTTTAGGAGCGGACAGATGTCGGCTCATTTTAAGGGGGTGTCTACATAATGTCACCATGGCAATGCAGACTGCACATCTAACTTGCTCTGGGGCACCTTATATTTAAGTTATTGAATCAAAATATACTGTAAAAGTCATCTTACTCTAGAAAATTTAAATTAGTTTACTTCCATTAAAACAGGTTGAAATTATCTCCCTGCAATGGCAGAGTTTTGCTTTTGTTTTAAGAACAAGAAAAGAAAATTACTTTAAGGACTCAAAAACAGACACAAATCACTTAGTAAAATGAAGATTTTTGCAGTGGTTGAACTATGCAAAGTATGAATCTACAAAGTCACACAGCAATCTGATAAATGTACTAAAGAAGAAAGTAGAGTAGAAGAGGAAAGTAGCCAAAAATGGCAGAAAGTACAAGTATCTTAAAATGATTCTTAAGTACAGCAGTAAGTTTAAACTTAATATATATATTCAGTTAATAATATATATATATATATATATATATATATGGCTAATCCAAAGTAATACATTATAATGTTGAAGGAAGGCTTCTAGGAAATTGTTTGTGAGCATGTGTGCAGGAACTTTCTCCTTCATCTGGCTGAGTTTCCAGATTGTTTTCACTCCCACTCAACCATAATAACGATGTACTGTATCTACTGATTGCTTTATAATATTTAAAGTGCCTTATGTTTCTCGTTTCACAGTTTGCACCCTGTATAACCTTGTTATTTTAAGCATACTGTGTATGCTGTTGTTTTTACACCATATACATCAATTTCTTATTATGTTTGTTTTTTCATTTTATTTCATACCCTCTACACGTTTTAATTCTTTGCAACACTGACAACCATCATGTTTCACACTTCTTTCACACTTAACCAGGAAAACATATTTTGTCATATTTCAAGATTTGCTGTATTAACTCTACCACAATGAAAATAAAAGCTACATCAAGCTGTGTTTGTAACCATATAATCATTATATTTTCAGTTTTTTTTTCAAATATTTCTGCTACTCCCATGGGGGAAATATAACTTGCTTTTAAAGTGAAAATTAATACATAATAACACCTCCTGTCACAGTGTTTCTTACTGTAAACATAAAGACATCTGCTGTCACTTAAGTTTGGTTACAATAGATTAAGGTCTTTTTTATATAGAGTGCTCCACAAATAAATATGAAAAACATCTACTGTGACTCACATTTAAGACAGTCACTATTATTTGAATACAGTTTTGCAATATGAGAGGAATACATCTTGGAGATGTGAGCCCTGCATGTCCTTCCACCATGCTTCTTATTGCAAGTTGATATTTCAGTGGACGAGGGAGAGACCAACCCAGACTCTCTGGCCTGCATAGATCTTTCTAATATACAGTCAAAAAATCCACAGAGACGGACTCTAGCCCTACTACAGCTGTTTTGGTCTTTATTCATGTTGTGTTTTATGATTCAAGTCACTGCTGCAGTAGCTCAGGGTGTAGGGACTTGGCTGCCCACTGCTCCTAATGTATATAGTAATGTATTTAGAATGGGTCCAATGCAGAGGTCAAGTGTCATTTCATGTATGTAAAATGCTGTAAATGCTCTATATACTGTGAAAATGACAATAAAATAACCATTTGTAACCACAACAAATTTTGACAATGAAGTCACTTTGAACTGATATTATAGGCTATTACAAGAACAGATATTTTTGCTGAAAACAAATTAAATATTCAATTCAGTTCAATGGAAATTTGAACAATACAATATTCATATTCAATAAATTAAATTCACCAAAGTACCTATGTTACCAGTACATTTTAACATTCGGGCCGAATAAATAATCATGGAGCTGTAGGCTAAATGTGTACCAGTGCCAGCGCATGTGCACCTTCGTGGGCCTTGTAAGCAAAAAAAGAGTGTGGACTGAAATGATCCAGCTTTCTATGTGAAAGGTCCTTTGGTTTAATGTTCCTACTCAAAAAATGCTAGGATGAGCACATTTCACACACATTAAAACCTCAGTGATTCTTTATCCCATCCCTGAACATACTTCAGGGTCTGTTTTGTTTGAAAATGGGTATTTTACCTTTGTTTAACCAGATAAGTAATTTGAGAACCAATTCTCATTTACAATGACCTGGCCAAGAGGCAGCTACAGGAGGAAAGTCGATACAACAATTAGAACATAGATACTAGTGCCAGCCAGTGCAAGAAAACAATACTAGATAGAGTTAAAACAGCACAATATATACAGTATATCCACAACAGCATCTATACAAAATCTAATTAACTGAAATTGAAAGGATTTTAGAGTTGTGTCAAAACTCAGCCACACAGATTAGCCCAAATTCCCAACTAGAGCAGGTTCTATATGTTATTGAATACAGATTCAGTTCTCCCTGAGAGATTTCTCCTTACCATTTGTTGTGCACGGACTTCTTTTTGTGCTAGAAGGACGTGGTTTAGTGACCAGGATTGACCATAAGCCTTGACTCTTCTGTCTGTGTTTTGTCTTTCAGCCTCTGATGTTGTGAGTTTGGACGGCAGCAGCAGTCTGGTGTACAGGTTGAGTCCCGGGCCGAGGCGGTTGTCCAGAGATGTCGTCTCTTTGAAGTTTAAAACCGTGAGGAATTCTGGGACACTGCTGCACGCGGAGGGAGAGGGAGGACTCAGCCTGAGTCTGGAGTTAGAGAGAGGAAAGCTGCTACTGCTGCAGCTCAGACAAGGTACAACACACCAGATATCTACTGATACTGATATCTACTACATTGGAGTATAACACAGAATTCTATATAAATACCAGGTTTATCTGCAGAACGACCTTTACTGGATAAAATGGCAGGCTTAAGAAGCTTATATTGTTGGCATCTCCAATAAAAATGAAAATGTAACAGGTAAACACATTTCTTCTGACAAGGGACATGACGTTTCCATCATCCAACAGAAATATAAGCAAGTGTTTCCAGTCAAAATTTGCTCAACAATTTGTTCAACAAGAACACATTTTCACATGTAATTTGTGAGTCACGTTGTGGACTTACTGGTACAGAACATCTGTATAAGGTGGAGGACAATATAAACTCTCTAAAATAACTTTAGATTGGTTGTGGTTGGGTGAGATGGACGACACGCACGCTGCCGCCTGATTGGTTTAAATCTTGGCTCGCGCTATGCTGCTGCATCTCTGTCTAGTTACGGCCATGATGGATGGTCCCCGTTCACTGTAGCATGTGTTAGGGCCGGACTCTGCAAGACTTGATACATGGCTTACAGTCTGTACAGAGGGTGTGTGTGTGTGTGTGTGTGTGTGTGTGTGTGTGTGTGTGTGTGTGTGTGTGTGTGTGTGTGCGTGTGTGTGTGTAAACGGGGTTAAACCAGAGGTTGTCAGGCTGCCATGCTGAATCATCACCATATGGCTCATCTCTCATCAGGAACCCCATCTGGCTGCTGAAATACTTTCTATATCCCTGGATCCATCCATCCATCCATCCATCTCTAACGCCCTTAATCATTTGCTTTTCTTTGCCTCATGCACCCTCTTTTTCTTCATTTTACATCTCCCAAAACACTCCTTCCTACATTCCCTAATCTTTCTTTTCATCTTTCACTCTCAGACATCCTTATCTTTCTATACATCCATCTTTCGCCCATCCTTTTCTCTGTCTGGCTCCAACTTCTACAAAGACAAGGGGCAATTCTTGATTTTTTAATAGATTTTTTTAGAAATCTTGGACTTTGGGCTGTATACAGAAATGTCTGAAATCAGATATGATTTGGGACAATGAGATAACCCCATCCACAGTGGTGGAATGTAACTACAAGTACTGTACTTGAGTACAGTTTTGGTTTACTTGTGCTTCACCTGACTATTTCTATTTTATGCTACTTTATACTAATAAAATAATATTAATATTGTTCTATACTATACTATACTACTATATTTAATTGACATTGGTTACCAGTTATTTTTCAGATTCAGACTAATAATACAAAATAGAATTCATCTAAAATTGTGATATATTATTATAGAAGTGAAATTAGTCCCACTTTTACAAGCTGCAATATCAAAGTGATGTACACATTAATGCATCACTAAATACACCGAATTTTAGTAGCTAGCAGACCAGTGACTTGAGTTAGAGTTGTGTGTTTGGATATTTGGTTTACATTTTAGCTGTAATTTATTAATTCCTCCCTCGCCCACCTCCTGTTGATCCTACTCAGTCTTTCACCACAGCTTCTTACCTCACTGTCATGTTCCATATTAGGCCGTGCCCATGTGTGAGTGATCTAATCAAACCTGAAAGATTTGATTTGAATCACTACATAACTAAATCCTGGCCACATTTCAGAAGATATAGACACTCTAACTGCCATTTCACTGTGACTTTAAAGGCTAAATTACCTTAGTGTCATTATTATAAGAATATGTCACTTTACAAGGAGACTGTGTCACTGTAAAGAGAGACTGCAGCTCAGTAAGAGGAAATTAAAGGCGTCCATTGAAATGAGGGAGAATAAGAGGCGCTCTGCTTCTGAAAACAACAAACAGGCTTTCTTCTTACTTTTCTTAAAGTTCTCAACCCTTTTTTAAAATCTTTTTTCCTCAGGTGCCTTTCATCATTCTTTCCCTCATTAGTTCTGTCTCTGTCTTCCTTCCAATCTTTTCTTTCCCTCTATTTCCTTTCCATCCTCTCTCTTTATCTTTACACAGCCTTTTTAGGTTACAGTTTGTGTAATTTAGGTCATGGGCTGTGTGCACTGACCCTGAGCTCATCCATGGTCCGCTCTGCTCTGTTAACACTAACACATCCCCCCCTTGGATTGCATTTTGCTTCATGAGGCAACTCTGAGTAACAGCCCTGCACAGAAACAACATCTCTGTCCTGGATAACAGAGGAAACAGTTAGAACTGGATGTTTTTTTTCATATAATGTAAACTGTTATGTGACTTTAAGTTGAATTTGGTAAGACTGAGTTCAGTAGACTGTACTGTTAAACAGTGGTTCCCAAACTCTGTTAGACAAAGGAACCCCTTCAAGACCCCCATACCCCAATATAACATGCATATTTGTGCACAGATTCTTCCAGGTTCTAAGAATTTTAGATATAAAACATACATTAAGTGTAATAATATATTCTCAACCACTTAAGGTGTTTGGCAGATTTACAGATGAATGAACAACAAATAAAATTATCTTATATTTAAGGTGTACAAGGGCTCATAAACAAAACAAAAAATGGTTTGCGGGCATTTTAATGGGAGCCTGCTGTTGCAGAACCGGCAGATTGGACTCCACTGACAGACGGTTTCTTGTCTTGTTTTCAGGCATGACAGAGCCAGATCACCCACTTTGGGAATCTAGCATTTTCCATTACACTGTACACCATCACTTCAGCCTTTTGAGTTTTGATTCGTGTCACTTTCATAGTGTTATTTATCCACCATCTCTTTTACAGAGAGATGCTTTGTATTAAGACCATCTGGGTCTCAAAATAAGGGACTAGGAAGTTTTTTTTGTCTTCTTTTCTGATGGTGTTAACATCAAATTAAATCATCTTAGTTTGCTGGTCTTTGTTTAGTAATATTTTTAGGGATTCCAGTTCATAAACCAATGTACGGAAGCTGCCAACAGCAGACATTCTGCTCAACTAAGTCTGCTATCCAAACAGCTGAAACATGGTGGTTTAACAAGATTTATGTCTGCTATCCAAAACCATTCCCCTCTGCTTCACATTCATCATGTCAGTTTGGTACATTGTATCTTTGTTGGCTCATAACTCAGCAGAGATTTCTCCTGTTACTTTAGTAAATTTCGGACAAACACGCTGACGATTAGTAGTTCCTGCTCCAGTGCAAGATGTTAGAGAAATATAAAAACTGACACAATAACGAACAGAAGTTTTATCAGTCTTGCTCATGTCCTCTGTCATTGCCTGTGGCTGATGTAAAGTGCATACTGGGATACTTACAACACATTTTACAGAATCTCCAAATCACCTTCAACAGCAGACACTGGAACATGCAGACAGTTTATTTAGCTTACAGTGACAACCCTGCAAACAGCCCATCTTTCTTATGCAATACAAAGACACAGGAGTGTAAATCTTAATGGCCTGTCAGTGTGAGAACATATTTGCTTTCCCAAAGTGTGTTTACAGTTTGAAAATTATGTGTGGAGCTGATTACAGTGACAGCAGTTCCTGATAAGCGCTGTCGTGGTCTTCCTGCGTAATCAGATTTAGAGTCACAGTGAACAGCTGTAATGATATTGCCGACAGGATATGATACAATGTTACTTTGGAGGGGGAAAAAAGCTTAAAAAAAAAAAAAAGATGCTGCGGGAATGAGGCAAACACATCCACTCCAACCCTCCTCGACATTAAAACTGCTGCAGTTATTATTAGCTGTTTTTTATATCTGTTATTTATGCAAAGAATTTGCTAACCATGCTTGCTCCTCTCCAGCATCAGACGTTTCTCATACAGTCTCATACAGATTCACAACCACAGTCTGATTTTCTGGGCTTTTGTAGAGCTCCGAATACTTAATGTGAGCTAATATGTCCAACCTGAAAAACAAACCACATTAAAATGTATTCTGCACATTCTCCAAAGATGAAAAATGTGTTTAATGATTTTTTTAGACCCTCATGACCTTTCCTCTGTGCTACCATCACCCTGATATTTCAAATTTTCATATCTGCTGACCCGTTGCTTGTTAATATTTTCAGTGCACATTCATGATTCCATCAGGAAGTAACCTATTGATTTTTGGTGACCCCCTGTTACAATTCATGTCACAATCTTGCTCAAGGGCTTACTAACACTTTGGCTTTTTTTTAAATTCCACACCAAGATTTCTTTCACCGGATTTGTCCAAAAAATAATCTCTCTGATGACCTCAATACAAGATAAAAGAAAATAAAGACCAATGCGACCAAAAAAGAAAAGATAGGGCTATATATATTAATATCAGTTCATTTTCTATTTGTTTGCCCCCTCAGACCTCTCATATTGATCCATGCTCTCTCTTTCCAACAATTTAGCCGGTTATCAAATCATCCATTCAATGAAACCCTCTGTCATAACGTCCTGTCTGTCTTTTCTCTACCTTCAACAACATTTTATTTGTTTTTAAGTCTTGCCATTGTTCCACTCATATTGATTTCACTGTCTCTTTTCCACTCATCCAGACTGTCATCAAATAACTCATCACAAACTGTGTTGAGAGGACAGACTTTGTCTGTATCATGAGGTCCACATCCTAACTTTCTCTCTCTGGATGAAGCAGTTTTTCTCATCAAAGCTGAAGTCGAATCATCTCACAAATTAGGCTGAAATATCAAAAATACATTTGTCCATCATGTTTCAAACTGTCTCCGTTTCTCTCTTTGAAGTTGGAATTGCCTCTCCCTAAAGAATATCTAATACATTTTTAATGGCCGACTGTATTCAGCTTTTTCTACAGTTCCTTCTCTCAGCAGAAATATAAAGTTTCTCTTCCAGTACTTTGGGGGTTGCAGAAATGGATCCACTAATTTGGACCTGCTGGTGCTCATCCATCATTAATGATGTCTCACCATGTTTCCTCTGCTGAGATATTTGGGATGATCACATATTTGGCTTCAACACTCAGATTCTACTATACGAATATTCTATAGTTCTTAATGAGATGAGGCAGGCTGACCTTGGTGTGCTCCCCTCTGTGGGACACTGAGAAAATTACAATTCTAATCACAATAAAGAAGCTTTTATTAGCCTGGTGTTCACTTCTCTTCACACCAGGTCATCTGATGCAACTAATGCATCTTCACACTGAGATCCCATTTTTTACTCCCTCTTGTCACCGCTTCCTGATAACTAATCTCTCCTCATCATCTTCTCTTCCAGGTTCATCCTCTGAACCCCGGCGTCTTGCTTCTCTTGGCAGCCTGTTGGATGATCAGCATTGGCACTATATAGCGGTGGAGCGGCGAAGCTCTCACCTCAACCTCACTGTGGACAAACACACAGAGAGGGTTCAAATCCCTGCAGAGTTCAGCCACTGGGACATCAAACAGGTGGGATAAAACACACACAGGAAAATACGTTATTGTGTAATCCAAATGCACCCTGCACTTTATATGATATCAGAAACTGTACAAGAACTAAATGTTTAATTATGACACATTTCTATTACTAAATGTGCATGCAACGCCCTGTATGTGTCTCTATTTTTTGTCTACATTACAGCTGAGGGTAGGAGCAGTCCAAAGCCCCGATTCTCAGGAAACAGTTGCCTCCAAGAGGAACTTCCATGGCTGTCTGGAAAACCTTCTGTACAACGGCCTCAACCTGATAGAACTAGTAAAACACAAAGACCACCGAGTTACTGTAATGGTAAGTTATTTAAACAATTATTAACAGAAAGACCAATAAGTTAATTTTCTGGTAACTACTGCTTCCTGCAACTGAGCTTACAGCTCGCAACATGGTAATGGAAGATTAGCCAACAAAATAGGAAACTGTAGTGAGGTTAAAATAATGATGATAAAAGCAGGAACCACAAGTGACCTGAAAGAATTCCCATAAACCCTAAATGATGGTGATAATATAATGTAAATACACATCACATAATAACTCTAATGCTGCTGAACTGGGTGAAACAGTAATGAAAGTAAGGGAAGTGGAAAATAGTCACTGATATGTTCCAGATCACACAATGATAGTAACACATTTCGGTACATACTCAATGTGCGGACAATAGTAAAGCACAGTAGTCTCTGCTGAGGTCTTAAAGTGATGTGATGTCTGTGTCCTTCATCTGTAGCTTTGTGTTTTTACTGTAAAGTTCTTCTGACACTCTGGACTTCCAGGCTCAAGGGCCACTGAAACCAAGATATGCCAAACTACCTCCATAAATTCCTTTTGGTCAATCAAACACTGATGAAATATTCTGCTTGGTGTTTTTAGTGACTTTGTGACTAACTATTCAACACAGTGAATACATAACCACGGACCAGCATGTATATCTTTGAGTGTTCTTCTTGCTTATGTTTTATTTTTTTTAAGTAACAGGATTATTCTTTTTTTGTTTTTTTCAGTTGTTTTTATTGGTCACCCTTGTGTGCATTCCCCTTCTGTGTGTGGGTGTGTGTTTTTGTGTGTATGTATGTGTGACATTCCCTTTGTCCCCATTGGGATTCAATTTTAGTGGTAAAAAACTGGCTTTACCACTCAGGCAGTGCAGATACTGGTTGTTCTGGATACTGCTGGTGCTAAATGAAGCAGGGACAAAGGAATGTAGATGGTGGTTAGACTCTTACTAATGCCTTCTCATCTTGGCCATTAGGACATTCAGATATTCATGATGAGTGGAGCAAACTCCTCAGAGAGAGGCTGTGAAGCATTTCTGCAGGGAGTAATAAATGCTCTCTCGTTATACTAAAGGCTCAAGCAACTAAAAAAAACCAACATGAATACTTGGTGAAGAGGTACAGCGATTTCACATGCATGACTGAAGATGTAATAAAGGCAATTTTATGTTGGTACTGTGGCTCTTAAGGTACTAGTCACAAAGTTATGGTCAAATTTAATACAGAGAATAAATGGTGCTTCATATGGCACTGTGAGGGGGCATTAATACAATGAAAATAAGAGGGTGGGTGAAAGAGGACTAATGTATCAGTGCGGTTGTCCTGAGAGTTTTGAGGGTATTTAAGGTAACTTTCTACCTTGTGTTGTACAGTAGCACAGCCCACTCCAACATAAATTATTGTACATCACTTTAACTGCACCACAAAGGGCTTTTAGATGTCATCTGTGTTTCCGGAGCATTATAAAGATAGCAGACTGATATTCCCAGCAGAGAGCCGGGACTATAATATATTGCTGCTGCAGCCTTTGAAATGGACCTGGTGTCATTACCACTACTCAAAACAATAGACTGTAACAGAGATGTCAAGATATTATAGTACTGGGCTTACTGTATGCTCTCTTTCTTTCATTTTCATTCTTTATCTCTTTTACCTCCAAGCTGGGTGACTTTGGTATTTTCAGTTTGCTTTCCTAATCTTATTCTAAGCCTTGCTGTTATCATTATGGTAATACCAGTGTCCTCTTTAAGGAGACTTGCTGATGAGATCATTGTGACAGAGGTCACATCGACACGCCCTCTGCAACTGATTAATATTCATGTTTTATGTTGTTTTATCTCTCTAGTAATCAGTTTTTCTGTCCCTCCCCTCTCTCTCTCTCTCCACTCTGCATGTTTCTTTCTCAGGGCAATGTGACCTTCTCTTGTGCTGAGCCAGTTTCCATCGCCGTGACGTTCACCGGCCCCCAGAGCTTCCTCAAGTTGCCAGGGACGATGGCGTCCACCTCGGCGGGCGTGTCCATGGGGTTTCAGTTCAGGACGTGGAACAAGGCGGGGCTTCTGGTCACCTTTGCCTTGCCTCAAGAAGGGGGCGTGGTCTGGCTGTACCTGAGTGAGGCCAGACTCCGGCTACAGATCCATAAAGCTGGCAGGACGCTGCTGGAACTCACTGCAGGTCAGTCTGAACCCAAACCCTCAACGCTTACAGCTTCAGATCCACTTCTAACCACCAACAGATACGTTAGTGGTAACTCTTTATGGATATTGAGTCATTACTGTGTCAACCCATATGTGAATGACATACAAAACAGATACAACTTTAAAAATTCTTTAAAAGTAATGCCACTAAAGCCCCATGCACACAGCTTCAGTATGTGGAAAAATCCAACGCTTGACAGGCTTGCCGTTGTGAGTTACGGTTGCCATGCTGTTATTGGACAATTGCAGTACAGGGAGAGGTTTAAGCAAATGTTCGATTCTAAACTTTTGAGTGTATGTAAAGAGCTCTCCAAAAGTGAAGCCAAAACACCTGAATAATAAATTTGTTCCAAAGATGGTTCCTGTCATTTTAGGTAGTTCTTAGTGTGCTGATATAAGAACATGTTCATTTGTTCAGTTTAAATAAGTTATTTGATGCTATAAAAAGGGGGCTTCATGTCATGACTGACAGCTTGGACCTGCTGGCAATCGAGTCGGCTGGGTGTGTGAGTGGGATCTCGATACCACGGCTCCAACCCCGATCATTACTGTGCAGACTCTGTCTCCAAGTAATGTCACCAGTGCAAGATGGCAGTGCCCATATTTTATACAGTGGGAGGAAGTGAAGATGCATTCTCTATCTTTGTATACAGTCTAAGGTTTGAACTAACAAAAAACACTCTTTAACAAAGTCTCTAATAGTTGCATTTACTTCAAAAGTCCAATATTTACCTTGTGATCTATCATATTATCCTTATTGCCAAAGCTCTGCTCACCCGTCCACATCAATCTGACATATTGTTGTGCAGCCAATGGCACTACCAAATGAATGGGGTGTGTTCTTGAGCAAAGTATTGACAGTAAGAAGAACAGAGGAGATAATGAGGTATTGATCTATTTCCTCAATTCTGAACAACATACAGATTCACAAGGCAGGCACAGCCCTGCGAATACTTGTCGCAAGTCAATCACACAGAGGATGCAGGAAGTAAAGTATACGCCTGTGTTTTTTTGCAATCCATTGGTACTACGTCTACCCACCAGCAAGCAATCTTTACTCATCTCCTAAATAGTTTTTTAGTCTTGTCTGATAATATTCTTCTAAGTACTGTTTCAGTGTGAGCACAATATAATTTTCAAGCTGTTTCAAAATAGTCGTAGTGGTGCATGTTTGGCAGGTCTTTGGGGGATACGAGGATATCTAATTTGGTCATTACGACATCAGTGCTCATGCCTGGCTTCAGCCTTGGAAAAAACTCTTGCACCGCCAACATTTGCTGCAGGTCTTAACGGCTTGATGTGCATGAATACATGAGGGAAAAAATCTCATTTTCAGCAGTGCGTGTTAATGGGTATTTGTTCCCCAGGTTCCGCTTTAAATGACGGCCAGTGGCATTCGGTGGAGCTGAACTCCAGACGAGGTCGTCTGAGCATCACGGTGGATAAAGAGGAGGGAGGCAGTGCCCAAGCCAGCCCCTCACCTCCTGTCACCATAGAAAGACACCTCTTCTTTGGTGGTAAGAGTGGATCAGATAAAATAGTTGAAAGAAATTGTGTTTACAATTGTGTTTGTGGCAACTAATGGAGAAATTATTTTATGACCATATCATTTGATTGGATAATGACTCTCATGTGGACTTTCTTTTCAGGTTGTCCCACTGAAGACGACAGGCAGGAATGCAGAAACCCCTTTAATGTCTTCCAGGGCTGCATGCGTCTACTAACTCTGGACAACAAGAACGTGGACCTGATCATGGTGCAGCAAAAGGAGCTGGGAATCTACAGCAACCTGCAGATCGACATGTGTGGAATCATGGACAGGTCCGTTTCCCAAAAAAAATTTATGATATTTGTTAAGGTATATTTTTGTTGTTTTGCTATTATGTCTCATGTAACTCTCCCCTGGTATTCTGCAGAGGCCGTAGAGCTTTATCACACCAGCATTTATTTATTTAATCCATTTTGGACAATTTTCAGTTGCCAAGGGGAATGGAGGTAGAGTGGGTTGTCCACTATTAAGAAGGTTGGCCGTTTGTTCCACGTTGTATGTCGAAGTGTCCTTGAGCCAGATACTGAACCCCTAATTGCTCCTGATGGTGTATGAATGTTTCTGTTTCTGATGAGCAGTTGGCACCTTGCATGGCAGCTGCTGCCATCAGTGTATGAAGGTATGTAAATGGGTGAATGTGGCATGTAGTGTAAAGTGCTTTGATTGGTCGGGAGACTAGAAAGGTGCTATACAAGTACAGTCCATTTACCATTTACCATGATCTGTGTATTTGCTTGTGGGAAGTTTGACAGTGCTGACCTTTGAGGGTGAGTCCAACATGAAGAAAGCTATTATATTAGCTATGTTGTATTTAATAGAAATCCAAAGTATGAACTAAGAAGGAATAATGCCACAAAGCTTCCAGCTTGACCTATTTTGTGGGGATATACGATTAAATTTGCTGATGTCGATTTCCAGATCAGGCATTGATTGTGTGTCTTTTTTTTTTGTTGAGGATAAATGAGAACTCTCGTCCATTGCATCTTAAGTGCCACCATCCTGGTGAGTGGAGCCAAAATTTTCACACGTCAAAAAACCAACCTTGTTAAGATAAAGAGAGGAATAGAATACATACTTGAAACTGTGACTTTTGCTTTTTCACTTCATTGGCAAAGTCTGAATGTGATGAGGGAATTCTCTGTTGTTGTCTTCCCTACATGTTAGTCAAGAGCACCAAAACACAGTACCTTTGCATATGAATACAAATTCAATCAGAGTATGGAAACAGACATTGCCCTAGTTGTTGATCATGCTTGGCAGTACATAAATCACTTTTTCTGCTTTGCTACTACCTCTGTTGTATTATAGATCGGCATTACTTCAAAGTTATTCCCTTTTATTAAAGAGCATATAGCAGGAGTGGGATTAGAACCCACGAGGACTAGTGTCCATTGCATCTTGAGGGCAACGCCTTAACCACTTGGCCATCCTGGTGATATGCAGAGGTTTTTCTAAAGGTGTTGAGGTCAGCTGGCACTAGTTACGGACTTCTTTATCAATGGCTTCTTAAAAATATGCATGTTAGGTTTCTGAGCCAGGCCAGCACAGAACCGATGCAATGCCACATGGCATTTAGATTTGTGTCCGACTATAATCTCACAAGTTACACAGTTTTTAGAGCCAGGCACTGGAGCTGCTCTATACCAACAGCAAGACCCAGTGCCTGGCTGTTGCCTGCTCAAATACCTGACTGGCTCATAAACACCACATTTTGTAGAAAACCCTAATTGTCTGTGTAATTGTAATATTTATCGCTAGATTCTAGGCTATTAGGCTCATGGAGTTAATAAACATATTTTGTGTGGTTTAAAGATTACTGTGTCTTCCTGTATATTCTCTGTCTTCTGGAACTTGTCAGACTTGACTGCAGCTTTTTGTCACTACCTCATGATTTCATCCACTTTCCCTCCAGGGGAGTTGCAGTTTATATCAAATGAGCCTTTTGTCAGGAATACATGACGTGAAAAACAATGCACACTCTCATTGGAAACATAGCCATGTGACGTCACGTGAAAAAAATATCCTTTTGTAATACAATTTTTTCTAAGAGGTGTCTTAACGGCATTCTGATTTAATCAATCAATCACATGAAATGCTGAGTGTGAAAGGTCAAAGGCACATTTGTCAAGGATGATGATGATGATGGATGTTGATCTCATTTGTCCATCCGAGTATATTTTTAAAAGAAAGTTTCATAACAATCACAAACTGTGCCGACCTTAAGGAGGTCAATATGAGCCAAGGAATTGGAGACCAATCACTGGCAATTACAGCACAACGCATGCCCGTTACACAAATGGCACTTTTTGCAGAACACAAGGAGCAGTTCTTGGATTCTAAAACTCCACAATGTACCTTTCATTTCAAAGATACTCTTGTGTTCCCAAATACCAGGAGTGGGGTTCGAACCCACGAGGGCTATTGCCCATTGGATCTTAAGTCCAACGCCTTAACCACTCGGCCATCCTGGTGACTTCTGCTGTTTCTTTTTGCCAGCAAAAAAGCAATAATGTAAAGACAGAATACAGGCTGTTGTTCAAGGCATTTATCAAGAGCATTGGAACATTTTTTCTAAGAGGTGTCTTAATTAACATTGGATCTGAAGTCCAACACCTTAACCACTCGGCCATCCTGGTGGGATGAGAAGCAGCCACTTCAAAGGCCACAAAACAATCCTGATAAAGTATAGATCTGCTGCTGTTTGCTGAAATATATCCAGGAGTACAAGGATAAAGTCAGTATATCCCCAGATATTATGTCCAATGACCCCAGACATAATAGTGAGAATACATGGTAGAGATCCATATATAAGGCATGCTTTTGCTGGTGTTGTCAGCAGAGGATAAACAAATCTTGTTGGTCATAGTCCTTGTCATCATGAGTGGTGGTTGAAAGAAAATAAGGCACAATTTACTTATATACAGAATCATACTATTATATTAGGTCTTGTTTTGCAATGTATCATTTAACAAGTCAACATCTTCTTTGTCTTTTACCTTTTTGGATATCACATGTCGACAGAAAACTGGTGAAAATTCCTTCTCCTGCAGCTTCCAGGCAGAATTTAATAAACAGTGCACCAAGGCGTGTTGTGGTAAAACAAAAAACACAGAAAGGTAATTTGACAGAGAGCAATAGCAGTGTTGTTGTTCTGTCAAACAGTAGTGAGTCTGATTGGTTCTTAAGCAGAAATGTGTCTTCTGGCCTTGATTGTTTGATCATCTTACATTTTTTGAGAGGAAACTTTTTGTTGATTTGAAATTCAATTTTCTTTGCTGGAAGAGCTAGATATTTGTGGGGTGAAACTGGGTGGCATTTTAGAGAGAAACCATCCCAGACACAAACAAATACACAAACAAAGAATCATGCACACACACTCAGAGGGTCTCCAATGTGTTACAGTTGTCTGTTTCTATTCCTACCTAGAACCCGGTGCACTACCAGTCAGTCAAGTGGAGGCCGCAGACTAATGAGCATGATTTTGAAAAGAGATGTTCAACAATCTCATGTCAGTGTAATGTTTAGACGTCCACGTCCATGTTGTTACAGCCCTGTTGTTGTCTTCCACTTTTCAAGTTTAAGTTCTTTTGTGTCTTTGATAGACACACAGAGCCAAAGTACATCAGCAATAAAAAAAATAAAAAATGTCAACTTACATCATATAAATGTCATTTCTAATGAAGCCTCGACATAAAGAGAGATTAAGGTGTGTTTAATAATAGGTGGGTTTAGATTGTATAACCATAAGCTGAACTGAAATTAATTGAACTTAGAGCAATTTTGGATTTCATGATGAATATTTTCAAAGTAAACCAAAGTTTAAACACGCATATTATCAGTGACAATGCAGGTTTAGAGCAGTAACTTCAAACTCGGGAGGTGAGAGAGAGAGAGAGAGAGAGAGAGAGAGAGAGAGAGAGAGAGAGAGAGAGATGAGGGAGGGAGGGAGCATGGAGCAAATCGTTTGCTGTTTTGGTGTCACGCCAAATAGGAGCACAATTAATAAGACAATTACAGCAATTATAAACCCCCCTCTAGGGCATAGCACACACACACACACAGTAAACTGGATGTAAACACCAACATACACACAAATATTGAACCAACCACGTATCTTTGCCAGATAAGGAGAATCTGCTTGAGTGATTTTAATTAAATGTCTTCCTGTCAGATTATTATTCAGCAGAATACAGTTCCTGCACATATCTGACTACTCACTGAAACAAAACAATAAATCCTGTTTTGCTGGAAAAAGAGAAAAAAACATCTACCACATCTACTCTCTCTCTCTCTCTCTCTCTCTCTCTCTCTCTCTCTCTCTCTCCCTCTCTCCCTCTCTCTCTCTCTCTCTCTCTCTCTCTCTCTCTCTCTCACTGTAATCCTGCTGATTGAATTTTGGGCCCACGGGATATATTGTACTGTAAAGTCAGGTGGAAAATGGACTCACACAGCTTCAATGCGGTGGTCATACTTCAAAGCAGGTTATTATATCTACAGCTGTGTGTATGTGTGTGTGTGTGTTTTATGACTGTTGCCTGTAGCAAAGAGTATTATTAGCCAAAGCAAACACTCCATTAACAGCACAAATGGAGCTCAAACCCACAGGGACCCTCTGCAACATCAGTTCAACTCCTTGTGTTATATCAAACCTGCCTGCTTATTTTAGGTCACCTCGTAAAAAAAAAAAAAGTTAGAAAATCACACACAAGAAAAATATGAGTTAAGTGTCATTCATTACTGTCAACAGTAATTTATTTACTTTTTCAGATTGATAATTGTCTTTTCATTGACAGCATAAGGACTCAAACTCTTCTGACTTTATGAAAGCTTTTGTATTCGCTCTCCAACCTCTTCTCTTTCTTCTTATTCTTCTTCTATTCGAGCCTGGGGAACTTTTAAGGGCTGAAGAGGAATGTTTCTCTTCTCTCTGTTCTGTACACAGTGTAATGTTGGAATGTGGATAAGGGCTGTGGATTTTACAACACACACCTGACTCTATGCACTGTTAACAAAAGCATGGTGCACAGTCTGTAGGAAGATAGGAATGGGTTCTCTCCAGTACCAGCACCAATGTTCTCACTGTGTGACGGAAGTTAAAGTGTCGGGCTCAGTTGACCACATGGATTAGAAGGTGCTGTGGGATAGTGGGCTGATGGGACCCTGAGTTAGTGTTTAAAGTTAGTGTTTATAGGCGCCTTAGAGCTCAGTATGAATGCTGTGTTCCTGTGAATGACATTTCAATGGATGTTATCCATCTTTAACACTGTATTGTTTTGTCTCTGAAACTGGTTTTCAGAACCTAACAATGTTATGTTTTCATGATATATGTGTGCGGGTGGGAATGGATGGGGAGTGGTGGGCGGTTTGGCGTCTTTATTTCTCATATTATTTTTCTGTGTGGTAAACATTGTTGTGACTGCCGTTTTATCAAAAGAGGATGCAGCTTCTTTATATCTGTCCCCATTTTTATCATCACCACGGTTGAACAAAGAAATAGAAAAGAAGAACACCACGTCGGGAATAATATAATATATAAATAATTATATCAGTAATGTTTCTAACAGATAGATTTCACTACTCACACTTCAAACTCCAACATCAAAAAATGAGACAGCAACAGGCAGTTTAGGTTAATATTTAATGGGAATACTAACTAGCTCCTTTCAGATCAAAGCAGTATTGAGATTAATGGAGATAAAATTCACACTGTAGCAGGCTGACAGGCTGCTGAGTCAGGGCTTTTATCTAAATGCAGGGGAGGTTGCAGACGCACAGGTTCTGTACAGTCATCTATTTTCTCTTCCTGTATATTCCTGCGTGGGTTTGGGCAAACACACACTCAAACACTGTCACATACATTCACGTTTAGTATTTAAAAAAATGTATTCCTTAATATTACAGAAGCATGCAGACTTCCAGCTCCCCATATACAAACACGCAAACACACTGTACACACTCACAGAGGTAGAACTGAGAAATGATGACATGGGATTGGAGTGAAGCGGTTATTATGTTTTTTTTATGCGTGTGTGTGTGAATCAAACCCTGCTGAACGAATCTGTCATGAAAGCAACACACGCAGGTAAAAATACTGTTATCTTAGACAGATGCAACAAGAAGTAGTGGTTTCAAAAGAGGCCAAGTCAGGTTAGGGTCAATATAAAGACATTTTCAAGCACAAGCTTGCAAAAATAATGTAATATTTATCAAAACTGCCCAGAAGTCAACAACAGTGCACACTCAGCAAATGACGGAGTGGCTCTAATGTACCACGTTTTCTCAGGCGGATCAACACTCACCAAGCAACGTGCATCCAACTGTCTTTAAGTTACAGTTAGTTAGCTTTTTTCATCATCTCTGTATGTTTGTTTTTCTCTTTCTCAGTTCAGCAGAATGAGGTAACTTCCCAGTGACAGTGTGGACCAGAGCTATGTTTAATGTTTAATCAAAGAAGAGAAAAACCTGACCCCCATTTGCATATTTATATATTTATTTTTTTTGCATCTTATTTTTAGAACAAGACAGTAATGGTATTATCATAATATGCATCAAATAATAGTATTAGAACTAAAAAAGCTATAAATAGTGTAACTGAAACATGACTATTTCTGGTCTAGGTGAAAAAACACGTCAGTCAGATCTCTAAGAGCTTGATCAGAGGTCGACTTCTGTCTTGTCAATTTGAAAGAGGTTTGGAGAAACGTAAGCAAACAATATATAGCAACAAATATTAACAATCAGATCTAAAAAAGGTCAGAGTAACAGTGGACTGTTTATAATGTATAAGTTCTTTGTCCAAAGTCCAGAAGGAAGGTTTTCAAAAAATCCCACACTGATCCATTTATCTTGATTTTGGGCAATATTTGACTGATTCACAGAATTTGACAGACTGATTCATTTAAAAGTCCCTGAAACATCTTTTCTAGAAAGAGGATGGAAACTTCAGTTTGTGTACTCTTATTTTAAAAAAAGCCAAGATATGTTTAATGTTTCTGAAGAAAAGTTTTCTCTTGATAACATCTACTGAATGATTCTTCAGCATTAGACAAACTGACAAAATGTTTCAGAGATTTTTTATACAATTCAACAACCTCCCACAACACGTTGCCTCAATGGAAAATATGACCTCCTTCAAATGTTAAAAATGAAATATTTTCTCTTTCCACTAGTTACATTTTTCCTGATACTCCTACACACATTTGGCCACGAAACGAATAACATGCTTGGGTAAACATAATTTGAAATGCTTTCTGTCCATGTAAGGAAAAAAGCTTTATGTAACAAACTCATTTTGAAAATTTGCTTCAAGCACACACTTTTTTCGCGAGCATGGTGAGTTTGATAGGATTGTTTGGCAATCTGTGGTATATCATTTATAAAGTAACCCCAAAAGGTCAAGGCCTGACAGTTCGTCCTTTCAGTGCATCCACAAACACACCGAGCCTGTAAGATAAACGACTCAGCTAAAACATAAAAGATGCTTCAGCTGCTTTTTCAAACAAACTAACAAAAGAAAGTGTACCTCTCGACAACAACGGATGAAAGGTGTTTATTGCCATCGACTGCTTTTGTCCCCTTTGAAAGGTTTTTGGCAGTAAAATCTGCAGAATTGTTTCCAAATATTCAAGCTGCCAAAACAAGCAAATGGATTTTTAAATTCTGCTGTCTCAGTATATCGAAAGAATATATAATCATAGAGTTTTCTCTCTCTTTTTCTCGTCTTGACAGTAAACATAAATCCTTCAAGTTCCTCC